CCTAGCAAAAACACACACGAACACACACTTCGAGACCCTCTGGTCTAAATGTCCCTACTATGAATTCATGCAGTATTAAGCGTCACTTAAACTAGACATCGTTTCAACTATATTTCATTTGCTGATGAAAAGGAATCGTGACTGTACAGCAGCCTTCCTTTCTGAGGACAAGTACTTGTGAAAAGCATTTGCATCACTGTTAGGAGCTTATCACCACGGGGGTGGTTTCTAGCTTTTAACAGAAAAATGTACAGGTGTACGTATAATATACTGAAATGATTGGGGCCAGAAGCATATAAACATCTTGATCGTTATTGCTATCGAACAATTGCTATTAATTGACCAGTGACACATTACCCCCCCAACCTACGCTATTGGCAGTAGTACCTATTTAGCTGACCAGTCTTTTATTTTGTGATACAGAATTGATCAGGAACAGAGGAGAAAGGGGATTCAAAATGCAATGTGTAATTTCCACTGCTTTTGCAAAAAACATATGTTCCGATGAAATGTATTTTACATCAGTCAAATTAAATATCAAGCAGTACGTTCCTAAGGAGCTGTGGTGGCTCAAGTGGTTAAGACGCTGAACTGAAGGCTGTGGAAGGTCAGTAGTTCAGCAGTTCGAGACCTGAGTTGCCGCATGATGGAGTGAGCTCCCATCTCTAGTTCCAGCTCCTGCCAACCTAGCAGTTCGAAAGCAAGACATTGCAAGTAGATAAATAGGTACCACTTCGGTGGGAAGGTAACAGTGTTCCGTGCGCCTTGGGGTTTAGTCATGCCGGCCACATGACCACGGAAACGTCTTCGGACAGCGCTGGCTCTTCGGCTTTGAAACGGAGATGAGCACCGCAACCCTAGAGTCGGACTCGACTGGCTTTCGAGCAAGGGAACCTTTACCTTTACCTTTAGTACGTTCCTAATAAGCAGATAAATCTATAGCAACCTGTGAGTACTCGTGAATTGCATCAGTTCTCATATAGCAAAGGCCATGTGATTCAGCACATCCAATACCCACAGGCCACACAACAGCTCTTGCCCCTTAAATTTTAATTCCTGGCAATCCACCAAACATGCGGGAGTAAACATGGACTTACTGTGTACAGTGTCTACAGAGAAAAGTTGTGCAGAATTTGGCACAATATGGCATGGGTCTTGCTTCCTACAATTTTGCGTAAAAACATGAAGTACACAGCACAAAGAGTTTCCTGTATGTGCTGAGCATTGCTTAGCCAGGAAGTGCTGGGGCTAATAAAATTAGAGGTGCTGGATCTCGCGCCTACCTGGAAATGGTACCTTTTGGCTTGGAAGCCCTTCCCTCTAATTCCAGCAGTGTGCAGAATGCTTGTGGTTAGGGGTGAGAAAAAGGCACTTTGCATGCATCTTTTAAATCGCTTCCAATTTCTGAAGTAGGAGCATTCACACAAAAAAACAGAGTCTGGCACTGAGCCTCAGGGAAGCTGTGCCTCAAAGGCAATATGTTTGGGCAAGCCATATCTAATGAAATTTACTCCACAGTCTCACTGAATCGCTGTAATGATACAGACAGAAGGGAACAGAACAGCAAAAGAAGCAGCAGGCGATTACGTAGTGATTAAAACACACGCTAATCATAGCCGTTTACAAGTTATGAAAATCTGAGACATTACGGATCAGATAATGTCTTCAGGATTAAGCCCTGCTGGATCCTAAATCTCGACACCTTTCCCTTTCATTGTATCGGCAAAAATTCTGTTCAGCGCAGTTCCCTAGTTACAAAAACAACAGCCACCATCACTTCAACCCATCTGTGAATATACAGTTGAGTGCAATCACCATTGCTTTTAAAATACCCATCACACCCAACCGCCTCTCTTTTGACTGTGGTAATTCAGTTTCCAAAGCCTCTCTCAGCAAAACACCATTAAAAAAATACAAGTAAGCAAAACCACTCAAAAACCTACACACTCACTCCGTCCCAAAAACACCATGTGATCAGTCTAGTATTAAATCAGGACACCTGCGTCTCAGATCCAAAGAACTGATTCTGTTAAAAAAATTACCCAGTGGCTATATCATTCATAAAAGTAAAAACACTTCAGCTAGAATCAAGAAGATGATATCAAGTTGCAATAAATTTTATAAAACTCTGCAAGCACTCTCAGGTGCTATTTAAATAATTCGTAGTGCTGATTATGGTTAGGAATGGTGAAATCTATAGAGCTGTGCTTCCTGTTGCATAATGCCAAAAGCAGCAATGGCCTGCTTTGAACAAAACCACACTGCTTACTGATCACACAGATCAAAACAGGATTTGACACATGAGGCACCTAATGTCCAACATACCTCTTCTGTGGCCCCGGTCACATGGGCCGGATTTCGCGTGGGGGAGGCGTGGCTAAATGCCCCGGAGGAAACTAACGTGCGGCTGCCCGAGCACACGTCCCGGTCGAGGTCCCGTGGTTCGGGGGAAACAGAAGCCGCATCGCGCAATCGCACTGGCAATCGCTCTTTGTGCGTATGCGCTGTTGGGCGCTGTTGCGCAACCTGTGGAGACGAATAGCGGCGGGCACCGGATGGCACTTAAGTCCACCGGGAATACGATCAGACGCCCGCCCTTGGCCCGTAGTTTCAGGAAACTAGTACCTTGTAGGTACTAGTTTTTTAACTCCGCACCTTCGGCGGGGAGCCACGGGTTCACCACGGGAGCACTGCGCTTCCCAGATGTTGGGGTGAGATCGCGCCCGGAAAATCCGTGGGACTCCTGTGCCTCTCCCGTGGCAACTTTGCCATGTGACCGGGGCCTGTATCACATAAAGGCAGCCATACTATCAGCCTGTTTGGTAGTGCAAGTCAGATGAGTACCACGAGCAACTAATAAATGGCAAACAATGGCAGTGTTCACACGCGCGAGATAATGTGGGGGGGGAAGCGGGGCTATTTGCTCCGCAGGAATCTGACCTGCATTTGTGCAATCACACAGTCCCTGGGAGCTGCGGGGGTGGCTCGCCACTGCATGATCACATGCAACCGTGGGTGTCAGGGGTTTTTTTTGGCCACGTATTTCTGGTACACTTCAACGAGGGACCGATGATTCGCATCTCTGCACCGAGTGCTCCCTATGCAGTGTGCGATGATGCGCATACCGAAACAGGGAAAAAACCAATGTCATGGAGTCAGGATGGCCCGATCAGACCATCCCGATGCCATGGAAGTGTGCTGGCGCGATCACACTGGGGAAAGTCTGTTTCTAGCCCATAGCAAATCCATTTGCTACTGGCTTTTCCCTGGTATCTTTTTACTCCGCTTCTGCAGCGGAGCAACACGGGTTGACGACGGGAGCTGGACGCCTGGCAGATTTTGGCGTCTGATCGCACCCTTAAAATCCACCTGGCATTTGCGCCTATGGCACGGCTAATTCTGCATGGGATCGTGCCCAATGTCGGGGCCACCTGGGATTCAAATGCTAGTCAGCCTGCCCAAAGGTGGGTATCTTCTTTATCCTGCCACCAAGGCAACATGAGCAAATGGTGGGCTTTGATTTCTTATCACCCATATCTATGCCGTCTCTGCCTTTCCCCTGATTGTCCAAGGATTCCTAGGAAAATAGATTCAGGTGGGTAGCCATGTTGGTCTGAAGCAATAGAACGAAGTTTGAGTCCAGTGTCACCTTCAAGACGAACACAGTTTGATTCTGGGTATTAGCTTTTGTACTCAGAATTAAATGTAGTTGGTCTTAGGGGTGCCACTAACAATAGCATAACACATCATTTCTAACTTTAGAGAGCCAGCAGAAATCACCAGACATAAGGCAAGGATGATTAAGAAGAGTTTTGTTGGCAATAATTTGCTTTTATCAACATATTCCCCCAAGGTCTCATTTCCAATGTCCATGGAACTGAGATTTGGAGATGCTGGATAGAAGGGAGAATGGGACTGATTTCGCACAAGGAGCTGCGCCGCCGTCGCGCCTGCCTTTGCCTTGTTTCCATTGGTCAATTTCCCACTCAAAGCCGCGCGGCCGCATTTTGACCTGCAGCTTCACCCGATTTTCCCCACAGTTTCGTGATCCTGTTTTTTTGAGGATCACAAAACTGCGGGGGAAATCGGGCGAAGCCGCGGGTCAAAATACGGCCGCGTGGCTTCAAGTGGGAAATTGACCAATGGAAATGGGGCAAAGGGAGGCATGACGGCGGCGCAGCTCCTTGTGCGAAATCAGTCTGTGTCTTAAGATTTAATGCTGGAAAACAAAGTTTTCTGCTTTCAAAACCTCTGTGGAGATTTCCTTGCATCTCATGGTAGTAATACATTGCTGCATGAATTGGGACCCTTAATAATCTAGCTAATTTAAATTCCCTTCTCTGGGCTTTCTGTAGTATTTGTTGAGATGGATGAGTTCTTCACAGCTGAACACTGTAGTGTGGATAAAATTGCATAACTATTCCACATTGCCACGTGAGGTGTGTTTCCCCTATGTAGAAATAGTAACTAGAATTTATGCAGAACTTTCTGGGTCTTCAAAGGACTTCACATATATTACTACAACTCTGTATGAAAGCCAGTGTTATCTCCACTTTGCAGATACTGAGGCTTGCTAGTGAGCCTATGAGTAAGAAGAAGAAGAGAAGAGATTGGATTTAAACCCTGCCCTTCACTACCCAAAGGAGTCTCAGAGTGACTTACAATCTCCTTTCCCTCCCTTTCCCCACAACAGACCCGGTGAGGTAGGTGGGGATGAGAGAGCTCTTTTGAGAACTGCTCGTGAGAGAACCTCTCTGAGAGAACTTGTGACTGACCCAAGATCACACCAGCAGCTGCACGTGGAGGCGTGGGGAATCAAACCTGGTTCTCCCTGATTACAGTCCATGCTCCTAACCACTAGACCAAACTGGCTCTCTGTGTGAGATCTGAACCAGGGACTATCCCCAGTTCACAGTTCAAACACTTATGCTGAATCTAGATGTCGCACTAACTATGGTTTGACTAAACTAAAGTAGTTAGTAGGAGATAAGGTGGTGGGGTTTTTTTGCCGATTTACAATAGGCGGACTTTTGTTAGTTGGGCCCTCCCTCTTGCCTTTGGTCCTCTGAGCAGTGGGAGAAAAGGCCTGGGTTGTAAATGATGTCTGGTGATGCTTGACTTCACATCAGCATGAAAGCGTGCTGCTCTGGCCAGATCATTGCCTAATGCACTTACATCACCTCCAGATGGAGATGATGGATGGATATGATTTCAGATGTCATCAGGGGTCATATCCAGCTTGGGCCCTGCAAAGACAACTCCGGGAGATGCTGGCCAGTGGCTTGGCATTCCTAAGGATTCTTCAACAAAACCACATTCTGACTTGGTTTGTAGTAACTCTCCTTGAGCCAAACTACAAGTGACGGTGGCCAGGGGTCCATCCCGTGGCCGCCAATGCCACCTTAGAAGCATTTTGCAGTTCTTTAAAAAGTGCTGTGAGACCGCAACCCAGATCAGGCAAATGGTGTGACACCCCCCAGGAGCTCTCGTTCCCCCCCCCGTGTCTCTTCAGGGGCAGAAACAGCCCCCCATGGCTGTTTTGACACTTGAAAATATGTGTGTGTGGGGGAAACTTTTGGGGCCACCGCACCACGTGCCCAATCTAGATTGGGGACTCATGGCAATTTTTAAAGAACTACAAATGCTTTTAAAATGGTGTTGGTGGTCACAGGATGGACCCGTGGCTTCCATCACTTGTAGTATGGCACTTAGTTGGTAAAGCCAAATACAGGAATCCTGACTTGTTTGGAAGCACTGTCCCCAAATATGCAGAGACGTCAAATAACCCTTGCTGCTCCTGTTGCAGTCACCTCCAACTGCCAGTCCACGAACTGGGACGTCCAAGCAGACGCCATTTAGTTTCGACTGTCTTCTGCACTAACTGTGGTTAATTCAATAAACTATGGTTTAAACAAACCCTGGTTAACCATGACACCTGAACGAAGCTAAGCTATGATACCGCTTCAGTTATCTAAAAATAAGGATTGTATTATAGCTCTTAAATTCTTAAACAGAACCAGTTCTTTTTCACTGTCTGCTACATTCTCTCTCAATCTAGCTATACAAACACACACACACACACACATATACTGGGATGCCTTAAATTAGACTTATATGTAAAGATTCAGGGGCACAAAGATAACAAAATGTGGGGGGGGGGGGGAATGCTTCCTTGCATTCAGAATCCTTCCTTGCAAATTGCTACTGGCCCAAGCTAACCAGCCAAACTAAAACAGTAAATGAATGTATTGTGTTAAATATGTTCAAAATGATATTTCGGGGTGCCCTAAAAGTCCTTTTCTGATTCATATTATATCCACACCATTTCCGATTGCATAAGAGGTCGGCTGAGCTTCAAATCGATCCTCACCCAATTCTTCAGTTTGCTACCAGCGTGTTCTTCAGAGCAGCCGTCTCCAAATCGAGTGCGGCCTCTGTTTGCTGAGCTTTAAGAGAGTTTGTCAACAGAAAGAAGTTGCACTGAATACGAGCAAAAATCAGAACCCCAGATCTACATAGCCTCCCAACAGCACCACCATCTTGGAAACTTCAGCAGCTGTTGGAAACAGAAAAGAAGAGTGGGGTAGGAAAGCAGCTTGATAACTGCCGGAACCGAGTCCTGCAGCCAAAGAGGTGGTTGGTCCATTAGGCAAAACCTTCAAGTCACCATGCAGGGGGCGGTCAAAGAACCAGAGCTGCTGATTTTGAATTTCTAAACACCATAGCAGCAGCCACCACACAGTGTCTTTTCTGCAAAAGAAACAAAACAAGAATCTGGTTAAATTGGCAGTATAATTTATAGGAAAGCAAATTGGTTGAGTGTCCTATGGAAGGCACAGTGACTTTAGTGGTTGGAATCCCGGGGACTGTACAACTCATTCAATGTGCCCAAGGAGGCTTTGGACAACATGGCATACAGCCTTAGAAAGTGAGTAGACTTTAAAAAGCAGACAATGACGACCGCAGTATGGAGACGGCTGGGGGGCGGGGAATGAGTCCGAAACCCCAGTGGGCGTGTAGCAAAGGAGCCCCTTTTAACCTGGCCATTAAGCTGGTTCTTTTTCTGCATCAAGGTTCCCTGCTTCTCTTCCAATCCCTCATTTCCACTCCTAGATTAGTTTAAAAAAGATTATACGTAACTCCTTTCCTTAAAGAGAAATCAGTCTTCCGGAACACCTTCACACAAATGTGGTTTTCTTCACTGTATCAATTACACTGGGAAGATGAACGTTGGTTGGCCAAGGGTGACTCTTTCAAACGCCTCCAACATTTATGTTAACTATCAACAGCCACTGAGTTCCACACTCCAGAGTCATAGAGGTACAGCAATTCCCATCAGTCCACAGTGAACTAAATGTTGCATGAGAGTGATCAGCGGAAAGTGTTCTTCCGTTTCACTGGATTTTAGTCACGCTGCACTGTAATGAAAGCTTCTTTTTAATTTTATTATTATGGTGTTGTTGTTTTTTTTTAATTTATTTTTAAAATGAGCCTTGAAGCAAATGTGACAGCCTCAATTGATGTGGAAATACTCTTAATTGGTTCAGTGGATGCAGCCACTTATCACCCCCTGTTGTCAATATATTGCACCATCAACCAAACAGTAGCCCTTCATATTTTGGTTTTCTTATTTGTTCCCAGTCGAATTTGTCTATGTTCATTTTCTCTAATACAGGGTACCATTTATCCATGGGGCTAAGCTGGTGATACTCAACATGTGTAGTATTTGTCCAGGATGAGATTTTCTCTTGATTATTATGGTGTTTTGAATGAAGAAGGTCTTGGGTTCAATCCTTAGCATCTCTGGCTAAATGGATCAGGTAGTAGGTCAGGGCTATTCCAGGGCAGGAACGCACAGGAACGGTGTTCCGGCTGGCTTTAGAGTTGGCCACGCCCACTACAGCCAAAACCTCTGCGTGTGTGGCTACAGAGGGAAGGCCTGGAGAGCAAACACCCCCACTGCAACTCCAAGGCGGGCAGGCCAGGGGAGCCCTGGAAGGATCGGGGAGGCATTTAAATGCCTCCCCGTGCCTTCCCCAGCCTGTCCAAGGGCCGGCTTTCCACAGGGTGCCCAGGCAAACCAAGGGAAGGCAGTTTAAACTGCCCATTTAAACTGCCTTCCCTTCCCTTCAAGGGGGGGGGCTTGTCCGGGCTCCCCACAGCCACGGGGTGCCCAGGCAAGCCAAGGGAAGGTGTGGGGTGTGGCCTAATATGCTAATGAGCTGTGCTGTCATGAGGTGTGGCCTAATATGCCAATGAGTTCCTGCTGGGCTTTTTCTACAAAAAAAACCCTGTAGTAGGGGATGTGAAAGACCTGTGCCCGAGACTCGCGAGAGCAGCTGATAGAAAAGAGAATACAGTAGAGCCAGCGTGGTGTAGTGGCTAAGGTGTCGGACTAGGGTCTGGGAAATGCAGGCTCAAATCCACACTCATGCCACGGAAGCTTGTTGGGTGACCCTCGGCCGCTCACACACTCTCGAGCTAACCTACCTCACAGGGTTGTTGTGAGGGTAAAACAGAGGAGAGGAGAATTATGAAAGCCGCTTTGGGTCCCTGTTGGGGTAAAAGGCGGGATATAAATAAAGTAAATAAAGCATTTTTAAAAAATGATTTAACAAGGTTTCTCATCTGGTCAGATACTGCCCTTGCAGATCGAAATGTGTGGAATCCAGGGCTATTTTTGGGCAGGAACGCACAGGAACGGAGTTCCAGCTGGCTCCCAAGTTGGCCACGCTCAGTAGGAACTCATTAGCATAATAGGCCACATCCAACAGCAGAAACTCATTCGGATTGGCTACAATTAGGGGTGTGTGGCCTAACATGCAAAAAGGCCCTGGGTTTTGACAACAAACAAGGTAAAGAGAATAAGAAGCAAAAGGTGGGTGTGGCTGGATGACCAGACTTCTGGTAACATGGGGGTGTGGCCTAATATGTGAATGAGCTGTGCTGTCAGGGGTGTGGCCTAATATGCTAATGAGTTCCTGCTGTTGGGTATGGAACTAATGAGTTCCTGCTGAAAATTTCTAAAAAAAAAAGCCCTGGTGGAATCTATTGCTCATGTTCTCCTGCACTGCAATTTGTATATGGACCTAAGGATCACTTACTTACACGCTCTTTTAACCAGCATGGGGGCTTGCTCTGATACATTTAAGGTGAATAGACTTTTAAGAGATTTCAGTCCGGACATCACAGAGAAGGTGGCTAAGTTTCTCTGCTTGGCTTTAAAGCTGTGCCAAAGGTTCTTCTAGAATTGTATATATGAGTTTTAACTGGTTTTAAATGAATAAATGGTACTGATAATTTATGCCAATAAAGGCTGACTTGACTTGATTTAAATGGAAACAACAAACTTTTAGAATGGGCCACAGTTTAATTTATAACGGGGTCAAGGAAATCCATGAAAGAGTTCAGTGGCACCCTTCTAACAATTAAATAATGGTAATTGAAAATATTGTACTTGGTACTTATTATTTGGTAAACTTTTGCTGGATGAGAGGGTTATACAAACTTTTAAAATGTGATCTACACTTTAAGAACAAACTACTCTTCACAGCTAGCAAACAGCACAATGGAGTAAGTAGGCTTGCTTAGTTGTGCCACAGAGGCAAAATGTAAGGCGACGGGAGTAATGTTGCCGTACCATTCTCTAGATGACACAGTAGGTCTCTTCCCACGAGTTTGACTCAGTATATTGAAGTACTTGGGAATTATGTGGTTTCGGTGGCTTAGAAACACAGACATGTAATGCAACTTACAGGAACCCATTATAAGCCAGGAACCTTCAAAGTTCTGCCGAACAGTCCTTACAAACAGTGCCTGAACTACAAACCACCTAATTATATTTGTAGCCCCATCAGGCAGACTGTATATGACCACAAGGATGGGAACACCAGTCAGAACTAGAACGCAAGACGAAAAGTGGCATACCCTGTATAGTTGGTCTCAGACTTAATGTTCAACATGCCCTGTAAAAAGTGATTATATCATAATAGAAGAATTTCCAGCCTTGGCGAATCTAGGGGGAATCATCTTTAGATATACTTTAGAGTCTTTTGAATTGATTTCTACAATGCTTTCTTTAAAAAAAACAACAAAAAAAAACACCCCTTTGATTTCTGTAGTAATCGGAAAGCAAACTCTGCTAATAGGTGCAGTCGTTTAAGATATGACCAGTGTTCCCTCTAAGATGAGTTAGTGTGAGTTAGCTCACAGTTTTTTTAGTCTCCAGCTCACACATTTTTGTCTTAGCTCAGGAAGGGATGGCTCCAGAGCAAACCAATTTATGCAGTAGCCAAATTGCTCGCTCACAACTTTAATGCCAGTAGCTCACAAAGTGGAATTTGTGCTCATGAGACTCCACAGCTTAGAGGGAACATTGGATATGACTCCACTGTAAGACTGAATTCTAGCTCATGAATCATGCATATTTTTGCTCAAGAACCAGAAGCAAAATACAATGAGGCCTTGAATCTCTCAATGGCTTTACTTCCTGTCGTGAGAATGAATAAAGCTTTTGCTAATCCAAACGTCTATTAACGACAAAAGAGGCCCCTCGTTCAAAGCCATGGCTTTTCTTTCTTAGCACAGAGCTATTACAGAGATAATCTGATCCAATGGCTGCTAATGGGTTCCATCACAGGCACATATCTGGATATCTCTACCTAGGAAAACTGTGGCCTAGTCCTGTGGCGCTGACTTGCATGGTAGGGAACTCTCAAGGACTTGTGGAGGGGGGGGGTGCATCCTTTTATTCTGTTTCTCCCTCTCCACATTATTCCCCCTTTCTCTCCTGGCAACCCCCATAACCTCTCCCCTTTCTTTGCTTCATTTTCTCCTTCTCAGCCATTTGCCAACCTATCAGCTCCCATTTTCAGCCATATTTATTTCTATTTACTTCGTTTATACCTAGGGTTGCCAAGTCCCCCCGGGGGGCAGGGAACCCCCCCCCCGCTTGATGGGGCTGTTACCTGCCGGCCCGGATTGGACCACCCGGGGGAACCCCACCCCCAAAGTGCTGGGCTCACCGGACGTGCCCAGCGTGATGATGTCACTGCATGTTTGCAGTGGGGCGCTCTATAATTCAAGGGAAAACTCTATGGGTTTTCCTTAAATTATAGTGGCCCCGCCCCAAACGTGCCCGATGCGATGATGTCACTTCCGGGTGGCGTCATCGCACGTGCGCCGGAGAACTCCCGGAGAGAGCCGGGACTCCCTCGCTCCAGGAGAAGGTAAGACTTGGCAACCGTATTTATACCCCACCTTTCTCCTCCATGGGGACCAAAGCAGCTTACATCACTGTTCTCTCCTCCTTTTTCTCATCACAAAAACACTGTGAATTAGGTTAGGCTGGAAGTATGTCGCTGACCCAAGATCACCTAGTGAGGTTTCATGGCCAACTGGTGATTTCAACCTGGGTCTCCCAGACACCTCTTTGAAACTCTAACTTCAACACCACACTGGCTGTCATTGGGTGGCTACTTTTGAACAACAGCAAGCGGCCAGGCCTATGTGAATCATGCAGGTTGGGAGGGTATCAAGTCATCCAGTGGTCACTGTCCGGGCTGGACCCAATGAATCCTCCCTCAAAGGCCAAAACAGCCCTCAAAAGGACCCTGTTCCCTCCCCTTGCTGTTTATTGACATAAATCAAGCCTAGAATGTTGTGGTTGCCTAGCAAAGACTATTGAGGGCTTCCATTTCTTAAAGCTACAGGTACGCCTTTTATCATTCTCTGGCTTTTTAAATCCCCCAATTTGTTTTTTTTAATGATTTCAGATTTTTCGACAAACCTGGGGTATCTGTCTTGTCTGTTCACGGCTCCAGTCCCAGGATTTAAATATCCTCAGACTTGATCAACTTTGCTATTAGAATATACAGACCCACAAGAAACTTGTGGGGAGTATGCATCACTTCACCTCCTTTGCTTCCTTCCCTCTCCCCCATCTCTAACAATCTTCTCCTTCATTCTCACCCCCTCACCTTTGGTCAGTCTTCCCCATCTCTATTCCTCCCCCCTCCCCTTCTCTGTCATTCTTTCCCCTTTCTATTTCTTCACCCTCCCCTTATCTGTCAACCTACCCCCCTGTTTCTTTTGCCCCCACCCCTTCTCCATCAATCTCACCCTCCCTTTCTCTGTCAACCTACTCCCTTCTCTATTTCTCCCCTTCCCTTCTCTGACAATTCCCCCTCCCCTTCTTTCAATATTCCCCATCTCACTTTCTCCCCCACCCCTCACCTTACCTTACCAGCCATGGCAGCTACTGTCTGGAAGCAGCTCCAGGCCCAGGGCAGCTCCCCTGTCACTGGGCCATGCATGGCTTCAAGCCTCCGGGCCTGACTATGATGGCAGTGGTATCTGGGATCTCCTCTGGGCCTGGAGTGGCTCCTAGTATCAGTGTAATGAGATTGCTATATGGCACCAGCTTTCAGAGGAAGCAGGCTTCCACATGATGGTCACAATGTGTACATTGGCCCCGATGTCTTCTGTAGGGTATGGTAGGCCTAGATACCAACCTTTGATTTTTCAGAGAGGTTATGGAGTCTCAGGTTCTTGAGATCCAGAGGCACCTTCAGCTTTCTTCTGCAAGAGAGACAAAAAGGTGCCATAAGAACTGGCGAGGGTCCCAATATTTCTGACCTCTAATAAAATAGCACATCGCTACAGCATTACCACTCTGTGAGTACAGGCTGGCTACTGAGATAGTGAAAAGGTAGATACAGGGGTCACAATGGAATGGGGTCATGTGGTTTGTTCCAATCCTTACCTATTCTTCCTATGGTAGAGGTGCCTCCTCCCACATGTTATGTTATGGTATGGGTGCCACATGGGAATGCTCAAGCCTTGGGGAACATTCCCATGACTGGGAAACCATATGGATAGCCTTGGTCCTGCATTGGACAGGGGGTTGGATTAGATGGTCTGTATGGCCATCCAGGAGCTGTGGTGGCTCAAGTGGTTAAGATGCTGAACTGCAGGCTGTGGAAGGTCAGTAGTTCAGCAGTTTGAGACCTGGGTTGTCACATGACGGAGTGAGCTCCTGTCTAGTTCCAGCTCCTGCCAGCCTAGCAGTTCGAAAGCAAGAAATTGCAAGTAGATAAATAGGTACCACTTCGGTGGGAAGGTAACAGCGTTCCGTGCGCCTTGGTGTTTAGCCATGCCGGCCACATGACCACGGAAATGTCTTCGGACAGCGCTGGCTCTTCGGCTTTGAAACGGAGATGAGCACCGCAACCCTAGAGTCGGATTTGACTGGCTTTTGAGCAAGGGAACCTTTACCTTTACCTTTATGGCCCCTTCCAATTCTATGATTTTATTATTCTATAATTCATTCAGGTGGGTAGCTGTGTTGGTCAGAAGCAGTGGGACAAAGTTTGAGTCTACCGGCATGTTTGAGACCAACAAAGTTTTATTCAAAGTGTAAGCTTTTGTGTGCAAAACACACTTCTTCAGGCAAAACATTGAACAAAGCTTTGTCGGTCTCAAAGGTGCCCCTTGACTCAAACTTTATCATTCGTGTTCAGTGCTACCCCAAGCAGAGTTACATCTTTCTGTGTGCATTGAAGTCAATGACCTTAGAAGGGTATAGCTCTGTTTAGGGTGGCACTGGCTATCTCCCTGATGGAATGGAGGGAAGATCTGCTGGTTCCTCCAACACGTGAAAACTGTAATTAATAGGGTACGTAAGGCAACTAACACAAATTTCCCACTGAAACCTTCTGGAAGACATATGGATTTTTAAGTTCTACCATGAAAAACAACTGTGCTTGATCTAGGGTTCAAAAATGACCGCAAAAAGAAGAAACTGTGAGGTAACTGCGCTAGAAAATATTTCAATAAACAAGCACAAAATTTATACAAAAAATGTGTACAAAAATCATATAAATGCACAAGGCAGTTGAAAATGGTGTGACGATGGTCTCCGGAATGTTCTATCGTTTCGATACTATTCTTCTTCCGAAAGTGGATGAAAGCAGCGACTCTTGGTCTGTCATTTCAACAAGTAGGTATCAAAAATTGCATTAATATTCACCAATAACTTAGTTGCAAGAAATTCTCTGAAAGAATGTTCCTAGGGCAAAGTGCTTGTATAATGTGATTGTTTATTGAAATATTTTCTAGCGCAGTTACCTCACAGTTTCTTCTTTTTGCGGCTTGATCTAGGGTTGCCAGCTCCGGATTGAGAAATACCTGGAAATTTTGGGGGTGGAGCCTGAGGAGGGAGGGGTTTGGGGAGGGGGGAGGGACTTCAGTGGGGTCCACCTTCCAAGTGGCCATTTTCTCCAGGTGAACTGATCTCTGTCACCTGGAGAACACCTGGAGATCAGTTGCAATAGCGGGAGATCTCCAGCCATCTCCTGGAGGATGAAAACCCTAACCTAATCCTACATCTACAAAAGTCTATCAACTCAACTAAAGATATGGCCTGACCAACATTAGGTCAATAAGAACAGACGGTTTTAGTAAAACAATATTAGCAAAAGCACACAGCCACACAGCACACACCAAAAAAATTAGGGGGGATTCAATAAGGCTCAAGGAAGAACAACTCTACAGACCTGAGCTTGGAGTCTGTTATGGAGGCTTTGGTCAGACAGCCAGGGATGTTTTAAGGCTGCGGTTGCACTTATCCTCCAGCTGGAAGGTAGAAAATCGAATGTGATGAAGGCGCCATGATTTCAGCATTCGTTGTGTTCACATTTCAGGAAACTGGCCCCAAGTCAGTGACACAACAGTAACTCTCCTTATGGCACTTAATAAAAAGTTTTTCCATAGTAAGATCTAAGGGGAATGTCCTCGAATATGATATACCCTGATATACCCTGTCAGAATCCAGAGGGGCAATTCTGCTTGGAACTCTGGAATTGCTTCCTTTGGGGACTTGCCAAAGCCTTCGTTTTCCCCCAGCTTGGCTTCTGATAGGCAGAGATAGGGAAGGACATGATTTGATGAGGCTTAATCTCTGTAACTGGGATTGTACTGTTATCAGCCTCAAATGTAGGGTTTGGGGGAGGAGGAGGCATCTATCTATACATCAAATAAATCATATTCAACCGCAAGATTACGTATCATAGTGGGTCGAGTGAACCATAAACAACTGTCTGTCATGGTGCTACATATCTCAGTGAGGCAGATGAATTATAAGTAATTATCAATTAATGGCATGATTTAATGTGAGAGAAGCTAACAGTAAATAATAGTACGATGCCATAAAACAACGATTATATAATAATTCCCACACTTCTCATCTCAGCCGTCATTATCTATGGTGACACCTGGTCATATCTTGCTTGCTCTATGGGACTTGAAAGGAATTTGTGTGAATCTATGGCATTTATCCAGCTATACATCATCTGCTTTGTGTGCACCAAAAGAAAACTTTTCAGCGTTGGATAGTGTATTAAAGGCTGGGATTCGTTGGAGTCCAGTTACCCTTTTTCCTTGATGAGAAGCTTAGTGATGAAGTCTTTGGCTTCCTCTGACACATTTTGAAATTCTTCATCTTCAAAGTCATATCTACAAGCCAGGATGCTGTTTAGCGTCTCATTGTCGTCTTCCCCCAGAAAAGGAGACAATCCACTGAGCCTATAGGGGAGGCAAAACTCTACGTACATTAAGGCTGCGGGCACAAGGGCAGGAAAATGCGGGGGGGGGGGAGGGTGGCGGTTTGCCCCGGGGCTAAAAACAGCACGGTTGCGTGGGCAGACCGAGGTCCCGTGGAGGTCCCGTGGTAGGGGGGAGGTGCTAATCACTCCACAGTCCTGCGGTGCGGCAAAGAAGCGGGGCGCGGGGCAAACGGGGTTGGGTTTTTTAAAACTCAAATGTGCACATGCTCCCTTGGGTGCTTGTGCGCATCCATGGAGACTTTGAAAAAAAAACAAACCTTTTTGTGAGGGGACATGGGCGGGCGCTAGAACTACCACCAGAAACGCGATCAGACGCCCGCCCTTGCCCTGCGGTCTCAGGAAACTAGTACCTCCGAGGTACTAGTTTTTTACCGTGCATCTTCCGGCGGAAGCCTCAGGTTCGCCACGGGAGCTTGACGCTTCCCAGATGTGGCGGTGAGATCATGCCCGGAAAATCCACCTATCTTCCATCCCTCTAGTGTGCCTAATGCTCCGTGTGACTGCAGCCTAAGTAAATCACAGGCTTATATGAAATTTTACTTATGGGCTTGAAGGGTTTAACTGGTTGGTGGGCCTTCATTAAGCTGATAGCAGCTGTAAATGAAAGACAAGCTTAACAGGAAGTGCTTTAGCTTTACTTACAACATGTAGGCGATGACTCCTATGCTCCACATGTCAGTCGGAAACGAGACAAAGTCATAGTTCACCACTTCAGGAGCGAGGAATTCTGGGGTGCCAAAGTTGACCTTAAGCTTCTCCCTTGGCTTGTATCTAATGGACAACAGTAACAATGAAATAAATCAGCATCTTCCTAACACTTGGAATTCACTGCCACTGGAAGTGGTGGCGGCTACAAGCATGGACGGCTTCAAAAGGGAATTAGATAAGCATATGGAGCAGAGGTCCATCAGTGGCTATTAGCCACAAGGTATAGATAGGGACTCTGGGGCAAGTGATGCTCTGTCTTCTTGGTGCTTGGGGGGGGGGTCAACAGTGGGAGGGCTTCTAGTGTCCTGGCCCCACTAGTGGACCTCCTGATGGCACCTGGTATTTCTGGCCACTGTGTGATACAGAGTGTTGGACTGGATGGGCCTTTGGCCTGATCCAACATTGGCATTTCTTATGTTCTTATGTTCTTAACCAATCCTGTGCAAGTGGGACCCAGGCTTCTGCAGCATCATTAATTTGTTCTCTGGGTTGTTGTTTTTTTAAGTCGGTCACTGTACCAAGTAAATTTGGTCTTGTGGGTCACTGTGCCAGAAAGGTTGGGAATGAATAGGTCAAAATAAATAGAACAGGGACAGTAAAGATCTACAGTTCCTCCTTAATTTACAGGACTGAAAAGTTTCAAACAAATACAGTAGTCTGGGCAGAAATGCTTATTGTGAAGACCTCAGAGAAGTGGGGGGGATTCTTTTGTATGGTATGAAGTGGACAGGAAAAGAGTAATAAGGGAGCTGCCGTTTGCAGGGCTCCTCAGCCCTGTGTTTATTGCCAATTGCAGTTCAACCCTTGCATGATGGGGGAACAAGAATCAGCGTCAGACTCAAGTCAGCCAGTCAGTTGATGAGGAGAGAGATTTGAGAACAACGCCAGTGAATAAAATCCATTCAACCGTGGCTGTATTCAGACATCATGACATCATAACACGAGGACGGGAGAACCAACGTACGCTGCTCTGAGCTCCTTGGAGGAAGGGTGGGGTCACAAAGGCCTAAAATAGATAGACGGCTGTCTGTGATGGGCACGGAACCAGGGTCTTGTGCTTGAATGCTTCTTGCCCTTTACCTCTCATCAGGGTTTTTTTGTGTGGAAAAAGCCCAGCAGGAACTCATTAGCATAATAGGCCACACCCAACAGCAGAAACATATTAGCATATTAGGCCACACCCCTGACAACACAGCTCATTGGCATATTAGGCCGCACCCCCATGTTACCAGAAGTGTGGTCATCCAGCCACACCCACCTTTTGCTTCTTATTCTGTTTACCTTGTTTCTTGCCAAAACCCAGGGCTTTTTTTGTAGCAGGAACTCCTTTGCATGTTAGGCCACACACCCCTAATGTAGCCAATCCTAATGAGTTTCTGCTGTTGGGAGTGGCCTATTATGCTAATGAGTTCCTGCTGGGTGTGGCCAACTTGGAAGCCAGCCGTAACTCCGTTCCTGTGCGTTCCTGCCCAAAAATAGCCCTGCCTGTCATTGAAAGCTTTCTGGTTTCAGAAATCTTCAATCAAAGCTTGATTTGCTGTGGCATCCAAATATCGGCTGCTGAGCAAACTGGCTTAATCCTTCTTTAGAAGCCTGGTTTGTGGGGAAGACACCCCGCCATTCAGACGTCACAGCAAATTTGAGTTTCGTGAAAGGCTTCCAAAACCAAGCAGATTTCAGTAGCATTCTGTGAGCCCACGGCCACAAATAACAAGGGCTCCGGGGGTACCATTGGACTCCCACCAATGAGAAACTAGGCCAGACAACTGGGGGAGAAAATTCAAATTAAACTTTCGATATGACCTTTAAAGATTACAAATTAGTGATGGCTCTGGAGAGAAGAGCAGAGCTGATCGGGACGGAGGTTTGTTAGGATGCCTGAATACAGTCTGCTCTGAACTACAAAGAATCTGATGTTTGTTTTCTCTTCTCCAGCCTTCCTTTTTCTACTATCTTTCCTTTTAAACGTATGAAGGCTGCTGTGTGATTTTGAAGCCCAACCCTTAATACGTCCTGTGAACCATGATCCATTCAGATCAAACTATTTCTGCTCTGCCCTGAACTCTTAGAATGGGAACTGGCAGAATGCATTTGATTACTCTTTTGGACCATTAAAGCCATTCAGGTTCAGAGTCCGATCAGATGGCTCTTTCGATCAGCGCGAGGCACGATTGCCTCACGGATCTAAAGGTAATGTCCAGACACAAACATCTGGGAAATGTCCCTCTCCCATGGGCATCCCGTTTTGCCGCGCTTTGGAGCTGTACTTAAAAGATTGCACATTAAATCTGGGGTTTTTGGTTACCTGCGGGACAACTGCGGACTTTCACCCGCCTGGTCGTTCCACCAGTGCACAATCCTCCCGTTCGGGTAGTCTGACATCAGACCATCCTGAGCGGGTGCCATTTAAAAAAATCTCTACACACGCACGGATCAACAAGGACGTGCTGTTACGCCTATGCGCATGCGCAAAAAGTTTTTTAAAAAACTCACAGCGCGCCTCCTTCAACAAGGACGCGCTGTGACACCTATGCGCATGCGCAAAAACTTTTTAAAAAACCCCACCGCGCATGCCTCCTTCAGTGGATGCCGTCTAGACAATCCGCAACAGAGGCAGTGCGCGGTAAGGCGATTCACCAGGGGGATGTCTGGTCGTGCTACGATAGATTAAAAAGATCGGGATAAAATTCAAGATGGCATAATGACGGGATTAGCTGCCCGTCTGAACGCACCCTCAGACATGTTTAATGGCATAGTAGTATATAATAAATACATGTAAGAAGATACATTGAGTTCCAGTAAGTAAATTTAGACAATAAAATAGGTGTATTATGTAAAAAGACTATCATAGGCCCCGGTCACACGGGCCGGATATCGCGGGGGGAGGCGTGGCTGTTTGCCCTGCAGCGAAATAACACGCGACTGCGCAATCAGGCGTCCTCTCGCGGTCCCGTTGAGGTTCCATGGTTAGGGGGGAGGTGCCGATCACACAACGCGCCAAAGAAGTGGCGCGGCATGGCAAACGGGGTTGTTGTTTTTTTAACCTGAAGTATGCGCATGCCCCGTTGGGTGCCTGTGCGCATCCCTGCAGACTTTGGAAAAAAAAAACCTTTTCACAATGGGGGCATGGGCGGGCGCCGGATGCCACCGGAAATGCGATCAGACGCCCGCCCTTGCCCCGCGGTTTCCAGAAACGAGTACCTCCGAGGTACTAGTTTTTTACCGCGCGTCTTCGACGGGAAGCCTCGGGTGAGCCACGGGAGCTCTATGCTTCCCAGATGTGGCGGTGAGATCACGCCCGGAAAATCCGCCTATCTTCCGTCCCTCTAGCGTGGCTAATGCTCCGTGTGACCAGGGCCTCTGTACGGCTGATTCAGCTAAGAATTCTGCAACCATAATTGTAGTATCAGTATTAACATCGTTAAGAAGATTTTGAACAGTTTTAAGATTATTAGTAAATAAGTATGGCCGAAGGGGTAACAGTTTCATACGTGAAGACGTGTGCAGCCGGCAGTCCAGAATAATATGGAAGATTGAGTCTGGAGCGATGCTGGGACATTTGCAGAGTCTTTCCTGGGGGGGTGGGATGTTGTTAAATCGACCCCGCAACATGTTTGAGGGAAAGACGTTTAGCTGAGCCAACATAAAGGCTCTACGATGGGAAGGAAGGCTGAGAGTATGTAAATAATGGGCCATTTGGCCATATTGGGTAGAGAGGTTAAGGTGAGCTCATTAAAGCCATTCAATATGCCTGCCCAATAGTCATTCCAGACTTCTCCCGGAGCATCAGACACCGTGGCCATCAGAAACACTGCTGGATTCAAACCTTCTCCGGCTTTTATGCTAGAAGGCCAACAATGTCCCAGTAGCCCAAGGGTTGTTTCTCTGGCTGCTTCGCCACTCCTCTTAATATTTCATCAGATCAAAGTGGACCTTGGATTTAGGGAATTAAGGGTGCTGATAACTTGATTAAAGCGACATACCTCCTCGCCAGCCCAAAGTCAATAATCTTTATTTTGTTAGCCTCTCGATTCACACAGAGGATATTTTCAGGCTGCCAGAAAGAGGGGGGGGGGGGAAGAAAAAGATCACACATTTATGAGAAATGTGAGTGAACTGCACTGGAACCAACATTTTAAAACACATTGCACAGTATAAAAATATGCACCACAGTCCTGGCGTCTTGAAGCGAGCTGGGTTCTGTGGATATCTCTGACTATAATCATGTGGTATTTGAGGCTGGGAATACTCTGCCAGTACAGCTTTTCCCTGCTATGGCATTTTAGTTTGACATAATGCAGCAACTTAAGATAAAGAATTCATTAGTGAGTTTTCAGAAGGGGAATGCACACTTTCCGACGGGACTTCAGGAAGTCAGTGTTGTGATTTCGCAGCCCTTAATGAGCTGACATGGGGGGCATTTAATTTTTTTTTTTTTAAAAAAAAGGTTTGCAACATTCTTTGAAATTTATCTTTCAGCATGGGACTTCTTAAGTTCACTGTTCTTCTCCACTCCGTATCTGATATATTAATGTCAGGCAAATCTGCTCTACACTTTCCCAAATCTTAACTAAATGGATCTGGGTTGTCAGGAGGGAAATCATTCAGATCCTGTACTCTGTACGGATGGCTCACAGACTTCCGCAATCCCATTCTCAGTTGAGAGCAGTTTTGAGTTTGCTAACAGGGTAACTATCTGGGATGCATGTTTTGAGCCTTCACAATGCCCCATGTCTCACCCATGTTCATTGCGTAATCAAAACTGCACCTTTTTAATCTCCTCTTTCTCACAAATGTACAGTTCCCAAAATACAGATGATTAGAGTTGCCAGAGACTGAAGTAGTTCCTTTCGGTTGAGATCCCCAAGCCAGTCAGAATGATCACATTAGTAGAAGAAGACGAAGAAGAAGAGATTGGATTTATACCCCGCCCTTCACTTGGAGTCTCAGAGCGGCTTACAAACTCCTTCCCCTTCCCCTTCCCACAACAGACACCCTGTGAGGTGGGTGGGGCTGAGAGAGCTCTGACACAAACTGCTCTTTTTCAAGGACAGCTGTGCCAGAGCTTGTGACTGACCCAAGGTCACATCAGCAGGTGCAAGTGGAGGAGTGGGGAATCAAACCCGGTTCTCCCAGATTAGAGTCCGCAGACTTAACCACTACACCAAACTGACTCTCCTACACCAAACTGGCTTAGTAAGACATGGGTCCTGGTCACAGGGGCCAGATAACGCGGGATGGAGGCGTGGCTCTTTGCGCTGTCGCAATTTGCCCCACCATTACGTGACCCGACGTGATGGCAGTGAAGCGGATTATTTCCCATCGGCGGGTGTTTCCGGTGCGCTCCAACGAGGCAAGAGGAGTGCGCTGGAGCAATCACACAAAGGAAGTCCGTCAGCAGCCCGTCGCAACCCATTTGATAGAAGACTTTTTCAGGTACTTTTTAACTCCGGATCTTCGGTGGTATGCTACGGGTTGGAGACGGGTGCGCCATGCTTGGCAGATGTTTCCATGTGATCGCACCCGTATAATCCGCCTGGCATTCGTCCCTCTCGCGTGGCTACTTGTACATGTGATCGGGGCCTAAATAGTCTTGAATCCAGGTACAGTTGTTGTTCAGTCGCACAGTCAAGTCCGACTCTTCGCGACCCCAGGTACAGTAGGGGTCCCCAAACTTTTTAAACCTGCAGGCACCTTTGGAATTCTGACACAGGGTGGTGGGTGCAGCTACAAAATGGCTGCCACCGAAGACGGAACTAGCCATAAAATGGCTGCTGCAGCTTATTTCCAGTCACACAAGTAAAGATCCTTGTGCTGTGTTGGCAGCAGTTGCCAAAGCAACTTTTTAAAAAATCTGCACAGCCAATCAAATCTCCAATGGCCAATCAGAAGCCTTGCTGGGCAAAAGCCCCATCTGACCCCACCCAATACCAACCAGAGCTCCTCAGATTGCTGCTGAGTGGCATAGGCTGCTGCGTCTGCTCCTCACTTGCTCTCATTGCCTGGATTTTAAGCCACTTGACTATGCATGCCTAGTAGGATGCGCTACTGCTTGCAGCCATTGCCCTGAGCTCAGGGACTGTTGTTTTGCTACACCCACCAGCAGAGTTCCCTCTAAGCTGAGTTCGTGTGAGCTAGCTCAGTTTTTTTAGCCTCCGGCTCACACATTTTTGTCTCAGCTCGGGGAGGAGGGCTCCAGAGCAAACTGATTGATGCAGTAGCCAAATCGCTCGCTCACAACTTTAATGCCAGGAGCTCACAAAGTAGAATTTTTGCTCACAAGACTCCACAGCTTAGAGGGAGCATTGCCCACCAGTCTTTCTGTTCAGCTGTGCCTTGTTTGAACACAGCAGTCCTGGTGGAGATGCGTGGAGAGCGGATGGGGACCCTTGTTCCTGGGCCTGGTACTTAATACTTAGTAGCTCTGGTCCCAGCGTTGGGATTGGTGATGAGTCACCCATAGTAGTTACAGCCAAGGGCTGTATGGTCTATGGATACAGCAAGGAGAACGAGGATCTGCATTTGCCCCTCCAAGCCACAGGGCTCCAAACCCATATTTGGCGTTCCGAACTCTGCTTCCTCCCATAGTTGCATTTCCCTTATGAAAAGCAGTCACAGAATTTTCGTTACACACGTTCGTATGGAACACTATAAAGCTCTTTGATTTCGATTCTAAATCTAGGCTCTCAGATTTATCTTAAAAGGTTTGTAGGTCAGTCTGTTCCCAGACAGAAATGAACCAGTCGGTGAAGAAGAACACCACATAACCTTTTGTCTTTTTTTGCTGCACAGATACTTTATGGAAACGAAAGCCAGATGGAATAAACATGGATTGGAATGGTGATTCATAACATGGCGTAATTTGGGGGTCTTTGGCCTGGTGAGTACATATCAACAAAGGTGCCACATGTCACATTACTCGCATGGATGATGTAACCCATGCACGTTACCTTCAGATCTAAATGAAGAATATACATCTGATGCATGTACTGAATCCCTTCACAAATCTGCTTTATGAACAAGATGGTATCCATCTCTGACAAGTTGCAGGTCTCATCGATAATTCGATCAAACAGTTCTCCTCCCTCCACACTGAAGAGAAAGGGAGAGAGAGAGAGAGATTTAAATTTATTTTTCCTAAATTTGTTTTGTTGAGGGTGTGTGCCTTCCATGCAGACAAGGTGGAGGAGGAGGAGGAGAAGAAGAAGAAAGGAGGAGATTGGATTTATACCCTGCCCTTCACTGCTCAAAGGAGTCTCAAAGCGGCTTACAATCTCCTTTCCCTTCCCCTCCCCACAACAGGCACCCTGTGAGGTAGGTGGGGCTGAGAGAGCTCTGCGAGAAATGCTCTTTCAAGAACAGCTCTGACAGAACTAAGGCTTGCCCAAGGTCATCCAGCAGCTTCAAGTGGAGGAGTGGGGAATCAAACCCAGTTCTCCCAGAATAGAGTCCGCCCTCCTAACCATTATACCAAACTGGTGTACACCCCACCCACTATACCAATATTTGCTGATCTGAATTAATTATGTGTGCAAATCTGCACAACTGAGAAAACGTATTAATATTTCAGGATCCAGGTTTTTTACATGATTTATGGTTCCCCCACCGCAGGGAACAGAGGGTATGGAGAGGCATACATACATATCTAGGTTAAGGATGAACAATAGTTCATGGCGGAAAATAGAGCAGGAAATAATACCCAGAGAGCAGAGTGAGGCATTTACACATTTTCTTCTGGAAGTTCTGTATCATGGTTTTTAAAAAAAGCTTTACATGGCTTTACATGGGTATGACTGCAATTCTGAAACTACTTGTTGCTTTCTGTTGGGTTACACTGAATCCATTAGTGCGGATAGAACATATAGTTTCAAAATATTGAAGCAGAAGAAACATTAAACAGATGGATACATACTATTCCATGACGAGAACAATATCATTTTTGGATTCAAACGCATCATACAGCTGAATGAGGTTCACATGGTTCAGCTGGTTCATGACATTGATTTCGTTCTTGACTTCATCCTGTGACGAAAGAAAGCAAGAAAGGCCCCGGTCACACGGCGGGAGAGGCACGGAATGTGGGCGGATTACCCGGGCACGATCACACCCCAACATCTGGGAAGTGGAGCGCACCCGTGGCTTACCGCCGACAATGCGCATTTAAAAACTAGTACCTCCAAGGTACTTGTAAACGTTTGCCATGAGCTGCCTCCAGACGCCCGTTATGTAATCACGCCGGCGCGCAGCAATCCCCTTCGGTCCCTCGTTTACCTGCTGGCGCCAAGGGAAGGACCCATGCTGTGCCACCAGTGCATCTGATCGCATAATCGAGGATCAAACTGCGCCGGGGAAATTAGCCATGCCTCCCCCCCCCCGCGATATCCGGCCCATGTGCCCGGGGCCAAAGAAAGGCAACTGACTGCATCACTGCCCTCCCAGTTTCAAGGGATTATGTATTTCCCTGTAAAAGAGACTGTGGCTGCAGTCACACACACTAAATAATCCACTTTCAATCCACTTTCAGTGCACTTTCCAGCTGGATTTTACTGTGTGAACTGGCAAGATCCACTTGCCAACAGTCGCTGGAGTGGATTGAAGCTGCATTATTTGGCATGTGCAAAAGCACCCCTGTGTGAAATGGCAAAATCCATCTGGAAAGTGCACTGAAAGTGGATTCTTGTGTGTGTGTGTGTGACCGCAGCCGGTATTCATTTTGTGGAGCAACGACTTTGAGCTGACATGGAAACGAACTGAGGGTATGTGGTGAGCATATTATGACCAAGGCATGGAATGCAGAAATCCACTTGAGAATAGCCAGATAAATTCCTCTCGGATGGTGATCCAAACTGTTGCCTAAGTCTTTGATAAAACGCTTTTTGACAAAGAACCAAAAAAATAAATACATCTGAGAAGGAAATTAAAGAACCAAATAGAGAGAAATGGGATTTGTAATCTGTTGTGGATTCAGAGGGCTATCAGTGGGATAGAAGCAACTGTTGACACAGCTCTCTGCAGAAACATGCATGCAATGGCACCCCCCCCACACACACACACACACAAAACTCTGAAGCAGCACAACACTTTCTGTTTTAAGAGCTTGTGCACACGGAATAATCTTCCTCTGCAACCAAAGCTGATAGGCAAGGTTCTGGTGTTCGCACTTACTTTTTCCTTCATACCTCTGACTTTTATAATTTTGGCAGCTAATTTGAGACCTGTTGATTTTTCTTCACATTTATGCACCTGTCCAAATCGTCCACTGGAGAAAGAGGGGAAAATATTGATTTATGTAGGACCGGTTCAAAATGTGTTAAGCTTTAAGGTCTCTTTCATGTAGGATAGGTGAATCTTAAATCTGAATTCCATTAGAATGCCATTCTCTGAATCAGATCAAAATACAAGAACACACAAAAGAGCCCTGCTGGATCAATCTAAGCCTATGAAGAAGGAAGAGCTAGTTACCCCTTTGGTTACAGATTTTAGGGCTGAAGACCGTAGACCATCTGACTTTAAATTTTTAGTCACAGATGGTTTAGACATCCTTATAATCAGTTGGATGTTACTAAGTGCTTACAGCAACGGGAGTCATACTGGATATACACCTTGCAATCTTTAACTCCTAAAGGCCTAAATGAAAAATATGATTTGAGTTCTTACATTTGATGCTGTTACAGAATGACCCTTTGTACCTTTAAGAGGTTTTTAAAAAAATTTAATAACTTTTTGTGATCTGTAGAGACGCCTGTATCTTGTAAATTACCACTAAAGTGTTCTTATTATGTAACTGAATGTGTATATAATTGCCTTCCCCGTGTGATCTTTTTATGACTCCTCAACTGAAACTTGAAAATTTACTGATGCACTTTATTTGGAATTGTAAGGTTAGTCATTCTTGCTATTATACATTTTAAACATTGTAATTGTTGGTTTGATAGGGCAGTATATTTTGTCTTTAGATAAGAGTAACTCTGGCAAAGATCAACTCGTAACGGAACGGCAACCCGTCTCATCTTATCTGAAAGAGGAGTTACGAACTGGATTTATTACCTCCTTACTCATCTGATTTGAATGAGGAGTTGTGAACTGAATTGTCACTGCCTTAGGGTTCTCTCCCACTGGAAGAAATATGTAAAACTGCTACCCTTGATGTGTTATGCTTCAGGAGGGGAACCTTTGGATTTTTATGGATTGAAACCCATGTACATTATTGTTTGTTATTGTAATGTATCCAGTCCTGACAAGTCCAGACAAGTCCAGACAAGTCCAGAGACAAACAGCCCTGACAAGTCCAGACAAGTCCAGACAAGTCCAGAGACAAACGTCGAGCTTCGCTCCAAGAGACAATGGACTATGCGGATCCTAGCCTGCTCCAATCAGGGGGCTAGGTTCCTGGCCGAGAGCCAATGGGACTCTCGGCCACTGTAAATAACCTATTGAGAAGTGGGGTGTGTGTGTTTTGGGTGGCGGTTTCTCGGGGAATATAAGCCGGCCTGCGAGCCGGCCAAAGTCGTCTTGTTCCTGATCGAATAAAGTACGCTTTGCTGAAATCACTCTCCGCCTGCGTACTTCTCAGTTATCTTACAAAAGTTATTTATATATATTAATAAATTGCTGTTATTAGCGCTGAATTTGTACCTTACAGCCATGTTTACTTGTCTGATCTCTGACAATTTGAATTTGTCAGAATTTTCTGGAAATTCTCAACTGGGTGAGCCCAGATTCTCAAATGAATGAGCAAGACAGGGGAAAGTTTTTTTTTTATTTTAACTTTCCTGTCTTTTGAACCACTTATCCTTACGTTGCTTCTGTCCCTTCAGTTAACCAGTAATCTGGGTAGTCATGTCCTTGCCAAAGGAGAGATCTCATCTACTGGCAAGGAGGGCGTAAAGGAGACTAACCTCTGGGGAGTTCCTCCAAAAGTTGACCCTTCCCTGACCCTTCCCTTAAGAAGTGCCCTGCCCAAACTCAGATTAAAAAAATTCCATAGGCACAACAATGTAAATTTAATGGGGAAAAATGGAAATTACACCTGGACTGACTCTGGAGAATTACTGGCAGAATCTGGGTCTATGAAGGTACTGCTGGTCTAGTCATGGACCTTATCCTGTATTTGAGTCAAAATTGAAAGTTTGCATATAAATACACAAAGTAAATAACAAATGATATTTGGCTTTTTTTGCCATCAACTTGAAAACATGCTACTCCAAACTGAAAACTTCACTTGGGCCTCTGCCACACGGCAGGGGAAAAGCCGCCAAAAAGCATGGCTTTTAAAAGCCGCGCCAAAGTTGAAACGGCGCGGCAGGATCCCATGGATCCCCTGGCCGCGCCGCCTTTTCTCCCCGGCACGATCAGACACCAGGGAGAAAACACAGATCTGATGGCGAGCCAGCCGAACTGCGCATGTCGGAGCATGCGCAGTTCGGCTAGGAGCTGGGGACGCGCCGGCGCAAGGATGCGCCGGCGATCAGACTCCCGGTTTGCGGCGCACCATTGAGATGAACCACCTCGGTAGGTGGTTCCAACTTGATGTGGATTATCGCGTGGATGGGCCAGTTCGGGGACAGAAGCACTACGCTTCCCAGATGTTGTGGTGTGATCACGGCCATTTGCTCCGCCCCCGAACCGTCCCGCTCCCGGCCCAAATCCCCTCGTGTGAACGGGACCATAGTTTATTATTATCCCCCCCCCCCAAAAAAATTCTCAATGTATTCTCAATGCCTCTCTTTTTCTTTCCTGGTGATACTCTTTTGCCTATTCTGTATTTAAAAAAAAAAAAAATCCTGCAGAGTAGCTTGTTTTACTTTCCAGTCACTTGAAGGAATGGCTTATTCTGCTACCAGTGATTTTATTTTGCACTTACCCTCCCAAAAGATCACCCTTGTGGACATGATAAAAGCTTCCGATGCCTGCCCTTTTGGCTGAGACGATTCGGTGATCAAAGGGGGCTGGAGGAGGTGGGTAATCATCTACAAATGACAGAAAAGACAGCCCGTTACTTTTACTTGGTGTACCACTAAAATGTGGTATGCCAATGATGAACTTGTTCCCAAGAAAAAATACAGCACTACACATTAAACATTCCTTCTCAAGAAAGGCCCGAGTCCCTTTTAATAGTTGTTCATTCCAGAGATATTCTGTAGACCTGAATTTTCTCATCTGAATATTTGCCACTATATCCCTTCCCTAAACCACTTTTAATTTTAAAAATGCTATTAAAAACGGTGTGGACTCCTGGGAGGGCCCCAGAAGCTTCTTCAAAACAGCAGGTATCCATGAGATGATCGCTTCAGAGAGCATCATTCACTGAGGGCGATTTCTCACTAGAGCTGCCTCACAGTACAGCCGCCGTTTGCCCCGACACAAACATGTCAATTTCACACCCGAAGCTCCGGGGCTGCATTTTGACTCGGGGCTTTGCCCGATTTCCTCCGCAGTTTCGTGATCCTGGTTTTTGAGGATCATGAAACTGCGTAGGAAATCAGGTGAAGCCCCAAGTCAAATGCAGCCTCGCAGCCTCGGGTGTGAAATTGACATGTGTTTGCTCAAAGAAGATCTGGGTCATTGGACTGATCGGGAATCCAACTCATGGGACCAACTTGGAACAAGTTCTGCTACAAAAACAATCCATGAGAATTATTTTTTTTAAAAGAAAACTGTCTTGTGCATAGAAATAAAACCATGAGAAGTTTTTCTTTGGAAAAATCCCAGTGCTTTTTCCATGAATGTATTCCTATTTCATGACTTGTAAGAACAAATAACTGGGTATGAATTGTGTAGACACACACAATACCCAGTGGGGAGATTTTGCCAGTAAAAATGATTGCATAAACTCACACTTAAGTGTAACAACTTTCTCAGGATTGTGGCTTTACTTAAAAAAAAGAAGAAGAGTAAAACATATATTTTCCTTTTTTATATGTTTTGCAAAAGACAGAGTCTTTTTTGAAGGCGTAAAATCACTATCCGTGTCGCTGCAAAGGAACTTCGGACTTGTTTCTACAGAAAACGTTTAACTTTTAACTTCTCAAACACTGAACAAAGTCCCCACTTCCCAAAAAAGGTCTGTATATCTCTGTTCACTTGTATCAATGCAGGATGCAGTCACACTTAAGATTAATTTTGCTTGGGTTGGATGGCATGTTGATTTTTTTTTTTAACAGAGATTTATTTATTTATTTTTACCAATTAGAGAATCAGTGTCTCCTATAGAAGGCTCCTGGTTATTTTCACTCTCGTTGGCAGCTGAATCGGATTCTTCCGCTTTTTCTAACGTGGCCGTCGGATCTACCCTGCTCTTTTTATTGCCGTCTTTCGTCAGCCCTTCCTCAGTCACGCTGTGCTTACTGCTGGCATTCTGGTCATCCTTCAGAGACGACGGTGATGATTTTTCACTCTCTTTATGCCTATAGGGCAAATAGAGATCTTTACAATGGAGATGGGAAGCAGCAGCAGGAGAGAAATATGCAACAAAGCATCAAGGGTTTTTGCCTCTCTGGAACAGAATAAGCAAGAGGAATAGCAATATTTTTTAAAAAAAAACCAGCCACATTCTGACAGCCAAGGAGGAGGAGGAGGAGGAGATTAGATTTATACCCCGTCCTTCACTTGGAGTCTCAGAGCAGCTTACAAACTCCTTTCCCTTCCCCTCCCCACAACAGACACCCTGTGAAGTAGGTGGGGACTGAGAGAGCTCTGACAGAAACTGCCCTTGAGAGAGCAGCTCTGAGAGAACTTGTGACTGACCCAGGGTCACACCAGCAGCTGCATGTGGAGGCGTGGGGAATTAAACCCGGTTCTCCCAGATTAGAGCCTGCGCTCTGAACCACTACACCAAACTAACTCTCCATTTTTCTAGACAGAGGAAAGTAACAATGCAAGGATCCCCAACCTTTTTGAGCCTGTGGGCAGAGTTGGAATTCCGACACAGCATGGTGGGCGCACCCACAAAATGGCTGCAGCAGGAGATGGAGCAGACCACAAATTTTGCTGCTACAGCTTACCTTCAGTCACACAGTGAAGATCCTTGTGCCATGGTGGCAGCTGATTCCAGTGCAACACTTAAAAAAATTATGTACGGGTAATCAAATCTCCAGTGGCCAATCAGAAGCCTTGCTGGGCAAAAACCCCACTTGGCCACACCCACTTTCCAAAAACACTTGGTGGGCATCAGGAAATGTGTTGGTGGATGCCACGGTTCCCATTGACATCACATTGGAGCCCCCTGGCCTAGTGTATGGCACGGGAAAGTAAACTCTGAGCATTAGTCCTTCCATCGGCGAAATGAGATTATTATAAACCTCACAGACTGTGACGGTGCATAATCTAGGGAAAGCACTTTATAATGTAAACGCTGTAGAAAATATTATCACGATTGGGTAATGTGGCAGGATGGAATATGCCAAACAGGGATGTTGCTAGGTCGGTGTCGTGGTTAAGTGCGCGGACTCTAATCTGGGAGAACCGGGTTTGATTCCCCACTCCTCCACTTGCACCTGCTGGATGACCTTGGGCAAGCTTAGTTCTGTCACAGGTGTTCTTCAAAAAGAGCAGTTTCTGTCAAGAGCTCTCTCAGCCTCACCTACCTCACAGGGTGTCTGTTGTGGGGAGGGAAAAGGAAAGGAGTTTGTAAGCCACTCTGAGACCCCAAGTGAAGGTCAGGGTATAAATCCAATCCTGTTCTGCTTCTAGGTCCAGTCCCAGCTGGTAACTAGAGCCCATGCACGTCGGCTGAGGCAGAAGAAGAAGAAGAAGAAGAAGAAGAAGAAGAAGAAGAAGAAGAAGAAGAAGAAGAAGAAGAAGAAGAAGAAGAAGAAGAAGAAGAAGA